AATGGCCAAGTGTTAGAGATTACCACTGATAATAAGAAAGGCTTGAGTTCTCTTTACTGTCCAGGGAAGTCTAAAAATAGCGTGAATTGTCGATTCTCTAACCACGGTGTTGTGTGCTGACGAAAACTTTGGTCTAAAAATACACTGTACATAGAATTGTCTTTAATTTAAGTGGATAATAGCATTCCCTGTGTTAATACTATCCGTCTTGTACATTACATCCTACTGTTAAATTCTTTGACGGTTACTAACACTGATTGTACAATAGCTATATTGTGTCTGTTGAATGTTTTTAAATTTTAAAAAAATTAAAAAGTTTTTTTTTTCTTTCAATTGTCAATCGATTTTCAACCAACAATTTTTTAATCATTGACAAGACCCCACTCCTCCCCTCCCACTTTTCTCCGTGTCCCCCCCCCCCCCCTCTCACGTTTTATTACTCAGCACACTTCACTTCAACCTCATGTTACAAATCGCTAACAAAGTACTCTACAACCATTTTTTTACCCTATTTACACTTGACTAACACAACATCTTTGCCAAGTTCCATAACTCCCTTCACATTGATCTAACAAAACCCGAGTTATCTTCTCTTCGTGGGCAACCCGCTTCTCATAACGTACCACTGAAGGTAGATAACTCTCTTCAAAAACTCATCTTTTTAAAAAATCGTGACGCGAACTGCATGATGCAACATTTATCTAAGATATTCTACAGTAATTGCCTGCGCAGTTATACACAAGGGGAGTAATTCGTCCAGATGAAATGACTCCGCTTAAGAAATATATTTTGCCGGAAGATCCTTCGCTGTTTTGATGGCGTTTTCTGCTAATGCTTGATACAAAATTGATGTTCTTATTTTTTTGCTTGTTCCTGTCTTCTTTATTGGTGTAGCAAGAATTAAGCCGAGGTCTATTTAATAAATCGGCAGTCTTTTATGAAGCTTTTCTTTATTCATCCACTCTAGCATTGTCCCGAGATATATATATATATATATATATATATATATATATATATATATATATATATATATATATATATATATATATATATATATATATATATATATAATATATATATATATATATATATATATATATATATATATATATATATATAGGGGGGGTTTCTATTGTAATACTAGCTTATTTTGAGGTGTATAATATGGGTCGGACGTTTTTTTAAAGCGGATGTAAAAGATGGGATTTATTTATCAAAGTGCAAAGAGGACATTTCTAACTGGACATTTTCCCAGAGTGCATTCCTTTAAATACACGGTTTTTGGTGAGTTTTTTTTTTTTTGTTTAAAAAAAACGGTGAACATTCTATACAGATGACGTTTCAGTAATGCGTCTGTCAAAATAATCTTTCAGCAAGGGCAATAACTTATTTCTCACATATGTCTGAAATGGACACACTAAGCCCCTTGCCTTAGCCCGAACCCAAACTCTAGTTCTACTTGAACCATAGTGCCATACTAACCCTAACCCAAAAAAAAGGCTACAGTCTTAAAATAGAGAAAAATTAAGCGGCACGTAATAGTCACATGATGCTTATTTTTACATCGAACTTTAAACACCAACAACAGTTAAAACAACGGGTCAAGACAATATCGTAATAAAAAAAAAACAAATGGAAAATGTTAACCTACATTTTTCCCCTAATGTACACGTGTAGCTAATTTAACCACGTGACTTTAACACGACAAGCCACCACGTGGGTTGGGCCGTCCAATCGTCACGTCTCTATTCACGCGTGACCATCACGAATCGATATCAGGCTATTTATAATTCACGACGTGCTCCGATCTAAGTCTGCACAGCTGAGTAGCACTCGAAGCATGTACTCACCTGGGCTGTTTAGAGGGGGTGGGGGGGGGGGGGAGGGAGGGCAAAGTCACACAGCTTCGTTCTACACGAGTCCGACATAAATGACGTCATTATTCAAACTCCACCCAACCTCTTCCCACACGTCGTCACAAGAAAAAGACACGTCACTTAAATGACGTCACAAAGCTCCCGTTAAACGATATTGATTTCTGCTATGATGGATACGTTAGCAGTAATTTAATTACTTAGATCAATTTGTTTTAGAGAGTAGTGATGACGTCATTCGTAGCTGGATTACTTTGAGAGCTTGTTTTATAGAGTAGTGATGACGTCATTAATGGTTGGATTACTAAGATCAACTGTGTTAGAGAGTAGTGATGACGTCATTAATGGTTGGATTACTAAGATCAACTGTGTTAGAGAGTAGTGATGACGTCATTAGTGGTTGGATTACTAAGATCAACAGTGTTAGAGGGTAGTGATGACGTCATTAATGGTTGGATTACTAAGATCAACTGTGTTTGAGAGTAGTGATGACGTCATTAGTGGTTGGATTACTAAGATCAACTGTGTTAGAGAGTAGTGATGACGTCATTAATGGTTGGATTACTAAGATCAACAGTGTTAGAGAGTAGTGTCAGCGGTAGTTGGATTACGCACGCGCAAGAAGCCCGTGTACATCTAATTATTCGTGAAAGGGAAAAAAAGTAAATGAAAGAGGAATACTAATTAGACCTGATTAAATTAACATGGTACACCAATTACATACGTCTGCACGTGCTCACGCACCATGCAGATATGTGGGGAGATTGTGGCAGACGATTGAAAATAAAATACTTAAAAAAAACTTTTTAAAAAACCACGTTTTTCTTGTGGACTAAAAAGTAGAAAATAAATTTTTCTTTTGTGCTTCCTCGAGCTGTGCAGGTTCTTGTGATGACTGACAAAAAACGTGGGTACGTTCACCATCAAATTTCCCGACCCATCTGCCCGACCCACGTTTTTTGTCAGTCATCACTCAGTCTAATTAAAAAACACAGCTTAACTAACGTCGAAACACTACTGCCAATTTAGGATTTGTTATCCTTTTCTTAAGATGGAAGAGTTATACGACAGCAGTTTCCAATATATGAGATTCAAATTCACACACAAGGAATAATTTATATCTGCAATTAGTTAACTTAACGCCTAATTTTAGACTGTTTAGATTATTTTTCGACAACTATGTAGGCAATATTTACACCTAAAACTGTAATACTTATATTGTTTTAAACATACATCCACTGTTCATACCCTCATTACTCATAGCTGCCCCATTACTTCAATAACCCTACCTCGGGTACTATTATAAAATGATTTCCGCAGCCACGGTTAATTAAACGATTAATTAATTCCTCGTTAATTAACAAGTAATTCACTTTCTGTTAAGTTCTCTACAGGATCAATTGTGTCGCAAGAAAGCCATTAGCGAGCCCCTGTCTTAATCGCGAGTCACGGAATGGAGCTAGGGTAGCCCAAACATCAATAGCGCGCCACTTTAGACGCACCGTGCTTTACGGTACCGCTTGCAAGACTTCTTGCCTTGAGCCATGTTGGTGCGTAGTTCCGGGCACAGGTTTAAAGAAGGCTGAAAGTGTTGCAAACAATGGAATATGGTGCCATGGAGTGCACGAGTTTTAAGAATCGCTCAAACTACGGAAGAATAAATCCGGGTATAAACAAAGAAGTTCGATTATAAAGGGAGAGAACGGAGCTCAAGTTTACCTCAGTCGTAGCCCCTAGTCATGAGGTTAATTGTTTGAAGTGGTGGTAGGTGTCTAAGGGTGTGGAGGTGTGTAATGATTAAGTGGTGTTTAAGGTGTAAGGGTGTTTGAAGGTTGATATGATTAAGGGTGTGGGGGTGTCTAAGGAAGGGGGGGTGGATTGTATTATGTGACGTGGTCCTCGTCCGATCACAAGAGTTTCGATCAGGTTGGTTATCGATGTATCGATTACTTGTTTTAAGGCCATATCACATAGACTGCCGATATATCTGTAGAGAGAACTAAATTTTACACGTATATATATATATATATATATATATATATATATATATATATATATATATATATATATATATATATATATATATATATATATATATGGCATATTAGGATGAATCGAATGTAAGGTGGGAGGGGAAGGTGTCAATCCTATTTCAAGTTATTACTACACAGGCTATAATTGTTGTAACTGGACCCTAACATTGAGATTCTGATACATCATGTGTATCTAAACCCTAAGTATCTACACCACCGACCACCCATCCTCCACTATATATGCTGTCTCTTCACTGTCAGCCAAGTGTTTTAACATACACCTCAATCTGACAGTTGTCTGATAGCTTTATTATAGGGAATGTTTTTTTTAATTCTAAGTCTATTTTAAGCTGAAACTGCAGTCTAATGTGTTTTCTCATCATAAAGTAAAAAACCTGTCTATGTGATGTTTTTGTCTAAAAATATATTGTTTACAAGTATAGCTTTCAACAGCTGCTGGATTATAACTGATGCTTTCTTCCGTTGCCTCGTCCGTCTGCTTTTTTTTTTTAGTAAAGATAAATCTAATTGTAAGTGTCAGGAAAAGTTTACGTAAAACTCGCCGTGTTTTGCTAAATTACGAATTGAAATTCACGGCACAGCTTGCTGATGAAATAAAGATAATTTGTCTTTATTTCAACATTAGCGTTCACCTGAAGCTAATTTGGTTTCTTTTAACGGGAGGCAGCTGCTGATACATTTAAAAAAAATATTTTCTTGCAATTTGTTTTTTCTTTATACCTTCGAGTGTACAGTGTAAAGAAAATGTAGAGGCCCCTTGATACAACTCGTAACTTTCACAATATGAACGTTTTGTTATTCTATGTTACTTTAATTACTTTTATCTAGCAACTTTACTATACATGGAACTCTATGAACAGTTGACGGGACATATATATATATATATATATATATATATATATATATATATATATATATATATATATATATATATATATATATATATATATATATATATATAGTACCCATACCTTAACAACATGATTGCTTTAAATATTCATTGAAGAATTGTATTATTTTTATGTTAAACCAGAAAAAAATTGCAAATGCTTTTAAATTTTTTTACCTACAGATTATACAAATTAAATACAGGGATATTTTAGAGAGCGTATCACAATAGAACTGACGTTTGTATTGATGGGATTTTCCTTTTATTAAGGTAATATTTTAATTATTTTTTTTATTAAAAATATTTTATTTTTCAATACACAAACGGAACGGTATTAACTTTGGAATAAAAAAAAATTACCCGGCAAATTTATTTTCAACAAAAACTTGTTATTTTTGTTTTACATTTTAAACGTGTTATTTTTGTGTTATATTTAAACGTGTTATTTTTGTGTTATATTTTAAATCTAAAAATAACCTCCCGACGGAAATGTCGCATTTACCTGGCGTGGATGTTGCTGGTGTAATGGTGCGTGAGACTGTCTGCCATTCAATGTTGCCGTCCGACGGCTTCCACCATTTACCGCGGGTGTCGGCTGCGGAAGTGGATTGTTTGTTTGCCACCATCCACTTGCCAGTTTGGGTGAAGTGGAGCAAGTGGCGCGTTAAATGTTCAGGTCCGTGCCAGATTTTTTTGCATGTTTGCGCGTGCACTAGAGACAATGTACTCACGAGTTAGTTTGACTCCGCAGTCACGCAATGACGATAAAACGCCGGTGATGGTTTTAAACCAACCTTAACTATAACCACAAGGTTGGGTTTTTTTTTTTTATTTTAGCTGCGTTACCAATAATAAGTCGTTTTTACTTTAAATTGATAATCAATTATAGCTAGTAGTTATTAAGAAAACAATATTTGGTACTGGAAATTGTGGGTTCCTAGCTTTAAAAAAAAATTCGTGTTCAAGCTATGCTTCTCTCTTTAAAAAATAAGTTTTCACCAAAATGTGTAAGAATAAAAATAAATTATACATAGCAATTAAAAATGTTAACAGTAACAAAATGTTAATAACTCTTGTTCACCAAGGAAGAGTATACTAAAGCTGAAACAGAAGTAGACAAAGTTAGAAAACAACGCAATTTAAGGTAACGTAGCTTTGACAGCGACACCTAACAATTATAATTTTAATATTTTATTAATGATTTCTTATCTTTGAAGAATTGTGCTATAAACGTGTAATAACTACGTCTTTTTATAATTCCCCTATACCATAACTGTATCAGTAGCCTTACGCATACACTAAAGTATCTTAAAAACGCGAGTTTTCCATCAAATTCCTCAACTTCCGGTTTAATTGAAGTTATAAAAAAACCTCCAGGTATAATTGATGGCTGAACCTGCACGATCCTAGATCACGAAGTATCGAACTGCTCCACTGTACATCAGAAACTCGCGACTCGTGAGGACGTAATCGAACGAAAATAATCGATTACTGTGGCTTTATGATACAGGTCTACGCTTTGTGTTCACTGTTAACTATAGTGGAACAGGGTAGACTTTTAGTGAAATGGTTTATCGTATTCCGTTTTTTAATACTTGTTGTTTATTTTTATCTATAAATGCAAAAGGTAAGCCTTTGTTGAAAAAGTAGTATTAAACATTTCTCTAAAGTACATTTTTTACTTTTTAATATTTTGTTATTTCTTTTTTTTAAATATGTCGTATACGCACTGAATATAATCGTTTAAATGAAGAAGTAAGTAAACCAATATGCGTAATGTTTAAAAAATTCGTTTATCGCGCATACTTTTATAAATTAACAAATAAGGCTGACTTTATGGCGTATCATTTATGACGATAAAAATAATGCAAGAATTCCTGCTTGCACGTACTATACTAGTAGGTGACGATGAAATTATGCAAGAATCCCTTTTTGCGCTAAACCGGTAGGACATTGAACCACACAGACGGGGACACTACTCCCCTTTGTTGACACACCAAACTACATCAACCACATCAACCACATCAACAACATCAACTACATCAACCACATCAACCACATCAACTACAGAAACTACATCAACTACATAAACTACATCAACTACATCAACTGCTTAAACTACATAAACTACAGACTTATTTGCCAAAATTGCTATTACATGCTGTCAAACAATCGTCATTAAGTCTATGCCAATTACGTCAAAATAAAAATATACACACGTGACATTTCTACCCTGAAGGAGGCAATTAGTCGCCGGCATGTTTGTCATCGCTGGTATACAATACTAGATAGCATACATGTGGAGTAGTGCATCAAGACTTGGGGGTGGAAGGTCGGTGTTTAAAGGTGGAAGGTCAAGGTTTGAAGGTGGGAGGTCAAGGTTTGAGGGTGGAAGGTCAATGTTTGTGGGTGGAAGGTCAAGATTGGAAGGTCTTGGTTTGAGAATGGAACGTCAAAGTTTGAGAAAGGTCAAGATTTGAAGATGGAAGGTCAAAGTTTTAGCTTGAAAGGTTAAGGTTTGAAGGTAGAAGGTTAAAGTTTGAGAGTGGAAGGTCAAGGTTTTATAGTGGAGTTGTCATCCAACTCATCTGCCAAAACTACCATTAGGGAACTGCGTGTTGAGGTGCGTTTTTCAAGTTTTAGTGTCTAGCATTTATTTTTTCCCGCTAGAACAACTCCAATGACAGTTTTAGTGAGCTGTTTCACGCTCGATTGCGCTCAGCAGTACTCACGTTTGACCTTGTTGCTAATGGAAGAGGATATTTCCCGATGGTTGGAATACTGCGGCTGTCGTTCTGGTGATTCTTTTGTCCAAAACTTCACTTTGAAAACGTCACATTGTGTACACTTGCCAATTGCGTGTACGCTCGTGTTTCTTTTGATCGATGGTGACAGCTAGTTGTGAGACAGTTCAAATACAAAAACGCGGATGTCTGTGTGTACGGTTGGGTGGGATGTGGGATGATGTTGTGTGGATGATGTAGGATGTGGGATGTGTGGGGAATACTTGAGTAAACGGTTGGTGTGGGGTGTTTAGTTTTAATGTATACAGAGCATGCCATTACGAAATGACCAATACAAACAAGTGGTCTTTTTTTCTTCTTTTTTTTCACTCACCCCAAAAAAAATAGATTTGAAATACATTATTGACATAATGTATAGGACGGCGCAGGCGGATGACCTCGGGTTCGGATCCCGGGCAGGAATAAGTAGGATATTCCTGAGTTCATTCAGCTGTGACGAGTACCTGGCCCACGTTAGGGAACTCTTAGGCGACTCGACGTAAGATAAATCACATTAATTCTTCGTATGCCGAGATTTTGGAAACAGGTATCCTCTACTTCACATATAATACTGACCTTCAAGTGGGAGATGTTTCTCACACTATAAAAGTGAATTCAAATAGTTTTTACTACAACTCTACTAAGGAGTGTGCATGCGCATTTAGAACAACTTCATCACCTTGATTATCTTATCTCCAAGGCAACTGATATCTTTCATACCGAGGCGGCTTCAGCCCCTGGAAATACTACCGGTTCCATCCTACCAATTACAGCAGTTCCAATGCTAAATATTCCAGACACACACACAAAAATATATAAAAACTTTAAAAATTACTCGAAAAGCTATTTGAAATTCCCTCCCCCCCCCCCCCCCCCCCCCCCCCCCCCAAAAAAAAAAATCTCTTTGTAATTTGCTCTTTGGCAAGTTGTAAAATCATCTCCACGTGTCAGAAACGTATACCCCCCTCAACTAAACAATTAGCAGGATTAATATCAACCCCCCCCCCTGACTAAACAATTAGCAGGATTAATATCAACCCCCCCCCCTACACTAAACAATTAGCAGGATTAGTTCTATTGATACCTGACAACTGATGGAGCATGCGCGACCCGTTTCACCCCTAATTTCATCCCCTCGCCACTCACGAACAATTATTTCACGCTATTGAACGCGCTCGTGCACGTTTAGCTTACGTGATGTTTTCTCACAACCCCGAACCCCCCCCCCCCCCCCCACACACACACACACACTCCCTGACTTTTCTGCTCTAACATGGAGAGGTACTTTGTCAATGTTTGCGTGAAGAAACTTGAGATCCCTAAAGAATAGATTTGATGGGAGTAGCAAAAACAGTGTTGTACAGTAAGAGACACTAGAGGGTTTTAAGTACGGTAAAACTGCTATTTTTCATGCTCACGTTTTTAATTTTTAAACTGTATCTCACTTTCTTGCTCTCTCTCTCTATCTCTATCTCTCTCTATCTCTATCTCTCTCTATCTCTCTATCTCTCTCATATAAGATTGTGACCAGTAATACATTGAAAACACAGCGATGTACGACTTCGTGAGATACATTTTTTGTAAACATAATTTTTTATTTCTTAAACATATTGGTTAAACAATACCAGACAAAAATATGTTTTCTTTTTCGATAAAATATTGTTAGGTCATTTAAACTATAGCTTTTAAATGTGGAAAACGTACCTGAGTGCACTCAGCTCTTATGAGTACCTAACTCACGTTATGGAAAGTAAAGGAAGCTAAGCATAATGCTGAGCTGAGCACATTATCCCTTCATAAGCCGATGTTAAACAGTTGTTGAAATTCGCTTGCGAAATGGACCGTCAGATTAGAAAAAAAGGAACTTTACTTTTTTTTAAGTGTGGAAAAAATGTTGCCGAAGATAATTCGTCAATTTAAAAACATCCAACATGATATATGCGGTATGAGCATTCGTACACTAACGTCATCAGTTAAGACAAGTTGCAACTGGAATAGAAACAGCTAAAGAAAACACAAGTCGGTATCATTAGCCATTGGTACATGAACGAGAGGAAACAACCACTTGATAAAACCATTATGGTGTATGGTTTGTTGTGTTGGACTCACGGCAAAAAAACATAATATATGTTGATGTGTTGATTGGAGTTTTGAAGTGGGGGGAGGGAGAGAAGGGGGAGGCTTAAGTAAACACAAGCTTGGTTTTTTGACACCGATGGCAATTTGAGCACGCGCGCTAATTAGCGACAGAAGAACAGAAGTCGCATGCATGGCGTGGCTTCGACTCGTGAGTATTCTGACAGTTGCTCACTCTCCCTCGTGCAGGTTGAGGTGGTAATTATTTTTCTTTCGTGATCCGCATACTGTGTGGTGGGTGGGCGGACATGTGGCTAGGGCCGTGATTACGTTGTTGGCACAGGTAGTGAGAGGGTGGGGAGAAGGTAGGGAGAGGGTAGGGAGAATGTAGGGATAAGGTATGGGAGAAGG